AACCACGGGAATAAAGCACATCAATCCACCAAATTCTACCTGTGAATCTCTTTGTGCTTTGACACGTCGCACAGTCAGCCCATATATCACGTGTTGCATATTGATGTTTATATACTGTTGACACTGTAATGCATCCGTCCGGCTAGCTTATCTCATTGTTAACCACTTTTCTGACATTAAGTGCCTCTGCCTCACTCAGACATCATATTGATTTTTTATAAACTGTCACGAACAAACCACAGAGGTCAATGAGCCGGCTGGAATGGCTGACCTTGGGGGTACTGTTACACTTGTGCTGTGAAAATACTCAGAAACATAAATCTCATACAAAAGTAATTATATTTCAGAAAGTGGCAAGCGGTTTATGTATCATTTATTATAGATTTTGTTTTGTCTGTGTAATACCATAATTCAAGAAAATACCAAGTGGAGAAAATTGCAGTAACTCATACTATACTATATCAATAAAAAAAGTTTCAACAGTATTCCAAATTAGTTGTAAAATGAGGTGTTAGATTACATTTTTTATATAAAGAAGCTATTCTGTAGTGAGCTTTGCAAATGGAGAGCTTATAGGTAATAACAGATTATTGATGTTTAATAATATTTATCATCTCTGAATCGAGCATAACATTGATTTGTATGCTGCACTATGAAAAAAGTGATAAACTGTGAACAGACTCTCCTTTTTCTCTCTCTCTTCCCCTTTCGTTCTCTCTCTCTCAGTTTTGCTCGAATTGTTGTTTATTTGCTTCTATCACTTCACGCAGACTTGGCCTGGGGCATGGACTGCTGGTACATAACCAACTGTGTGTCATATTTAGATAAGCGGTAAACAAAAACACCTAGCATAAACAGTGGCGGCGATGCTGTGCCCTCTAACCACAGCCCGCTGCTCTGAGCTGTCCACTCTTTGTCATGTATCAGCTGTAAACACATGCTTGTGTCTGATTGGTCCCATTGACTTCACACTGCTCCCAGCCTGCTTTGGGCAACTCTGTTTTTGTGTCTTCAATATAGCTATCCATTAAAGTGTAATCAAGAGAAACCCTTTTCACAATGGCGGCTGTGAGGATCACTAATGCCAGATAAAGCAGGCCATCAAAAGGAGAGGTGTTGCTATGCAACGCAAACCTGCTGACACTGTGTGAAGTAATTTTCTAAGTCTAATGAACTCAAGTGAGCAAGACCTACTCTGACTTACACTGTTACCTGTTACTATTAAAATGTATTGTTTTGTTTCTAAGAGAGAGGAGATCAGGTATGACACTGGGAACGCCCACTGCACCCACAGGCATTGACAGGTTGTGTCAGCTGCATTTGATGAAATGTAGAGGATGAATTTCCTCACAGTGACAACCAAATTAACCTTAACCTGAAGAACTGGCGTTAGGGTTAATATTGATCTTATTTTCATTGGGCCATACACTTGATTGTAGCATGCGACTTATACTGTATTTTAAGAATCTAGCAGAGCACAGATGCCAGAACATAATTTTCTGAAAGCACTTTTATGTAAATCTAGTTCATTTCACTTTTATTCTGAGCCAATCATCTCTTGCTCACACAGAGCCTTGACATGCACAGTTCAACACATAAACAATGTCTTCACTAAACAGAATCATTTTAAAATCCACGTTGAGGTTGCGCAGGTTAGTGAGCTGTGTGTAACTCACATGGACCAATAATTTAAAGTGACGTTCCAATTTAATCTGCAAACTAAATGTGTATATTTGCCTGCAGCATGTAGAAATCAGCATTAACCTACACCAAAATAGGTTTTCCCTGATCGAGCCATGTTGTGATGAGCCACCTGCTCTCCCTGTCACTTCCATCAGTTGAAATTATTTTCCTGTTAGCCCGCTCCATCAGACCACCTGAACACTGCGAGGTTGGAAAGACTGCTGCAGTTTTAGATGAGGAATACGAGTTGGCAGAGGTCAGGCCATTTCATTTTATTCGTACTGTAGGCAAAAGTCATTACGTTCCTATCCAGATATGTGTATGTGCAAGGTGTGTTTATACTGCTGGAATTTGCAGGTTACGTTTTGGTTAGATGGCATAACTGTCATGGCAGTCTACAAAAGAATTATTCCCATTGTCCCATGTGATCACCCTGGTGCAGCTGCCCTAGTAATATGAAATAAAGGATGGGTCTAATGTAGAGAATACAGTTTGCCATAGGGGCCATAAGTGGGCAATATGTCAGAAAATTCATATCATGATTTTCTTTGAGCCATATCATTATTTTGATTTGATCACGCTTAATGTTTCCTTAGTATCTCTAATTAAGTCTTCAAGAGGTAACTAAAACCATCTGCTGTTTGTAAAGGTTTACTAGCTTCACTGTGATTGGTTATACCCACCTGTCACTCACTCAGAGCATGACAGGCTGACCAATAGGAGGAGTGGGTGGGAAAAGTGTCCATAGAGCTGCATTAAAGCAAAAAGTATAGAAGTATTAGAAACTTTGTGTAGTCGGTTAGTGTGTGGGCAAAACATCTGGTGATGCCTCATACATATTCTGTCTATTCAGTCTGTCTGTTTTTCATAGCCTCTTGTCTCGTCTAAAGCCCGGCAATATTGACAAAAAGCAGTATATCCTCCCACTAACAATAATATTTTTTTTTTAGCTGAAATGCTTTAAAAGCTAAGGTTGTAATTGTCATGAAGGTTCAAATATAAAATTGCAATGTACAAGCAAGTTTATGTGATACTTGCTATGCTAAAGTTTATAAGAAAGTCTCCTGCTAAGATGGGGTACCACATCTTGGCTGTGAGTACAAAGATAGTCACGGCTAAACGTTTTGCTTCATGCTAGCCTGTGCCAGATAACGCGAGCACTGATTTCTGCACATGAATCCAAGCATTCGACTAATTTGAGTGGTTGCACGGGAACAAATTCAAAGCAGATGTCATTTGCCTTCACGTTCATTACATAAGAGGAAGCCTGTTCTGTTTGGCTGTACATGAGACTCTGATTGCGTTGCTCGCTGTGTCTCTCTAGGCCTCTCAAATGGAGATGAGGAGTATTAGTGCACGAGAAACCTTTGGAAGTACAAGATAAGCCAGCAACCCACATACTCTCACCCAAGGTATCAGCAGAGCCAGGTTAGAGGGATCTAATTAAACTACAGTTAAATGTGATCTGGTTGTTAGGGGTAGGGAATATGGGAAACATATAAATATCTCTATCACTTAGGGTTGTCATATTGGATCAAAACTTGGATAAAAAAATTCACCATCTAGTCCCTGGTTTTTGTTTATCTGGTGAAACAAGCTCAGATTTGGCGTGTCACATCTACAGACATGGGGTCACACAAACCATCCATGTTTAGCATATCAACAAAAATCACCTTCATTTCCTGTTTCTTTGATGACCTCTCACGGGCACAGGCATTGGCCTACAGAGCTCAAATTTAAATCACAATTGGGTGATCCCGGCCTGAATGTAATGTAATGAAATGTCAACGTTATCTGATTTGTACCAAATTTGGGAAATCCAAATTCTATGCATGACAACTGTTGGCGTGTTCCGTAGAAAAATGATGAAAAATTATGACTGGAATCGATCGATTGAAATGAAAATTTATTCCCTATACAATACAATTCTAATACAGAGCTCTGGGTCAAACCACTGTCCCTGATTGCCTATTCTGCACAGGACTTATTTCAGGCAGTCTGAACACCTGAATCTGTCCCTTAACCCAGTATATATACATTCACAGAAATACGATATGATACGATAAATGATATGTTGAACAGGTTCACACCTTGGATCCTCCTTGAAGCCTCTCTGTTTATGGGGATGACCACCAGATTTCAATTATAGCCAGGTCTATTTAGGTTTGGTGCCAGCCAGGATGACCCCTCATCAGCTGCTCTGTAAAGAATGTCCTTAAAAAGACACAACCTACACAGCAGTATTTTTAAACACATATATCAGATGTCAGTAGTTAAACATAAAATTAGTGCTGCATAATGACTCCTAAAAACATTTAAAGGTGCATTATGTAATTTGTCTGGTGGTGTCGGTAAGTGAGGGTGGCGTGCCGGGGCGGTTGCGAGCCCTGGCGGTCACGTGGGAGGGTTGTGCGCTGGGGCGAGGGCCATCATCACCATGAGCGGCTTTAATTTAATGCTAATGTCTTTACTGTCTTGTGTATTGTCTTTATTGTAAGTGTTATTATTATCATCATCAAGTTTGAAATTTTATCATTGTGACAACACCACTGTTTTTTGATACTTTTTGCAGCATTGTGGACCTGAAGTTATTTATTTTCTCCTTGTAAAATGTTACACTAACTGAATGCGTCTTTTAAATACATTATTATTTTAATTGTAAAAGAGAGTTGAGTTATTGTGTGTTTATAGTCTGCTGTACCACTCAAAATTGCTAGTTTCAAAATACCTCTTTTGTTGTTGGCAGGTAAAGCAAAATTGTCAATCATTCTGTTTTGGCAAAGAAACACTCTATAAACAATTAAATTCCACAAATCCTCAGTTTTGGGTTTGACAGCAACATAGTGATTCTGCTATAAAACTCTGATATGTGACTTTCTGACATTGACTTTCAGAGGTACATCTAAGGTTTGACCTATGAATGGTGAATGTACTGAAATGTATTCGGGAGTATCACAAAAAGATGAGTCTAAAGTTAATGTGAGGTAAGATGACATGCTGAGAACACTGAAAGATATATAGCTATTTATAGTTGTATGTGTCAGCATTAAAGTGAAAAGAAATACCTGGCTATTTGAACAAACAATACAATAGCAGAACAAAAGGTAAAAAGTACTTTGAAATATAGTACTTCATCTTCATTAAAGACATCATAACAAGTGACTGTGTGTGAATTCTCATGTCTTACTCTGGGTCAATATAGTCCCTGCTCAATTGTAGTAGTTATTTCGGGTGACGTCATCTGAAATGTACAACTAGGCCTACTGCACACTGCACTTCAATTCTAAAAGTGTTTTGTGATTATGTTTGCTTTTCAGAATGCGGGAGAAGGACCTACAGAGCGTGTGCAGAAGGGCACTGCTTGTAACCGTCTGTATGGTGTCTCTGTGGGGACAAATGAACAGTGCCACGTCTCACAGAAGCCATGTTGGTAAGTCACTATCTAAATGTATCAGCCATATTCAAACCTAGCCTTCACTTTACATCAATTTATAACAAGTACTTCTTCTATATGGTTTATTACTTTGCCCTGTGACAGATTAATTAAAGGGATATTACACTCTTAGTTTAAAATGTTTCCTCATCAAAAACATACCTGGAATTGTGTTTTGTTTCATTCACACATGTTTAACACACAAGCCCTGCATATTTAGGCTGAGTTCTTCTCTTAAACAGAATACAATCTGTTCCACCTTGTGATGTAATGTGATAATACAGGACTTGCTCCACTGTGTTCTTAACCTTCACTAGAATTATTTGGATAATTTCAGCCCTGGGTTTGCCAATCTTCACTGAACAAAAGGGAAAAGGTAGCTGTCAACTTGAAAACTACCATTTCATGACATCACAAGATGTAACAAAACATTTTGAGCTTTGGAAATATAGACAGACTAATGTAATATAATAAAGGGTTACTCAAACATGTATGAATGAAACAAAACACAATTATGTGAGTTGACAACATTCTAACAAGGCTTAAAGTCCAACTTTGTTTAATATAGGACCTTTAAGCAGCTTGTTATCTTTCTACAGTATCTTCTAGGGCTAATCCTTCATGCCACAACTGTTGTCTCTTTGTAACAGTACAATTAGTTTTATTTGGCTTGACTGTGTGCAGCAGAGCTTGTGTGTTCAATGAAGAACAAACTAAATATTCTCGGGAGCAATGCACTTCGTATTGGCAGAAGGAGCATTATTCATAGGTTTTATTTCCTTGCCCTGAATGCTTTTTGTGTCCAAGTATGGGGTCACGGTTATGGAATATTAAAGGTGTATAAATATTTTAAATTTGCCTCCAACAAACTCCATTGTTCCACTATAAAAACACAAACTAAGTTCCCAGTGGAAATAATGTGGTCTCCTATGCTTTTCATACCATCAAAGGTAGAAAAAACTGGACCTGCTATTTACAATGATGTGTCGTAATGGTTGATAAGTATCTGCTGTCCCTTCATTAGGAGCATGTGTTTGCTTTCATCAAACATAACATTAATTAAAATGCAGTGTGGCTATTAAGCTGTGTCCTTTTATTTCAGCTTGTCACAACAAACTAGTCCCACAACATGACAGTAAACACAGTGAGCAGGGTTTGAACTACTGACCTCCGTGTTGGCTCATGGGGGCACACTGTCAGGAAAAAGTAGTAAATATTCCAAAATAGCTCTTTAGTCTTTCTCTAATGGAACTACTACAGGCACCAAATTTTTCTATTTCACTTGACAATATTTGGAAGAATTTAGAAGAAGAAAGAAAACAAGGAGAATTTTGATATGTGCATGTAATAACTACTCATGTTTTAAATAAGATGTCCAAAATCCTCTCTGTAATAAGTTCAGATCGTTTTCACCTGCATTGTCTTTAAGTGATGTTATATTGGTGGAAAGTCAGTTGCATTATCCCATGGAAATTGAAAGCTAAAATCATACTTTGGAAAATTCTCTATGGAAATAGATATGTTTTATGCCATGTACATTTTTATACCCAAAGGAAAAAACATTTCCATGGAAACAAGCAGAAGGAGGCCCCCCTCCAGGCCAAATAAGAGTCCTTTTTGTGGAGATACAAGTCTGCTCACAGTGAGGAGGCATGTTTTTACTGCAGTAAAAGCATTCATAATGAAAAAAAGTACTTTTTTTTTTTTTTGGTCTATTTTAGGCAAAACTTTAAATACTATGGGTTTAATAAATTATTTATTACTGGCAATTGAAAATAATATATTCACCCATCCAAGATTACTCACAACAATGTAATATATTTCTCACCATCCCATCATAAAGCTGATATAATTAGTCAAGCATCATGCTTTTATGCCTACAAGGACGTGGAGTACTTAATATGTATGTTACACTGTCTTCACCAGGGCAACAGTAATGCAACAAAGACATTGGAAAGACAGAGCTAGTACAGTAAGCCTGTCCACCTCAATGTGTGCAAGTGTGTGTGTGCAGGGGACAAGACCTTTCAAAGCAATTTGTCAGTAATGGGGAGATGGGCTGATCCCTGGGCGTAACGGCAGAAGCTGTGACTACACATTGAAATAATGAGGCTCATTGCACTGGAGGACAAACAGCCCACCCCGCTGCAGGGACGTCTGTAACATGGCAAAAACAAATCTGTGACCAACAGCAGGCTTCAGGGCTTCAATCAGACACATGGTAGTAAACATTATGGGGGAATACCCAAAAATGGAAAGCAGTGGTTCTGTCTACTGTTAGGCGTGTTCTATCAAAAATCACAACTGGAATCGATCGATTAAAAGTAAAAAGAATTTATTCCCTGTCCAATACAATTCTAATACAGAACTCTGGGTCAAACCACTGTCCCTGATGGCCTATTTTACACAGGACTTATTTCTGAACACCTGTATCTGTCCCTTAACCCAGTATATATACATTCACAGAAATATGCATAATGATATGTTGATCAGGTTCACGCCTTGGATCCTCCCTGAAGCCTCTCTGTTTATGGGAATGACCAGATTTATTTAGGTTTGGTGCCAGCCAGGATGTCCCCTTGTCAGCTGCTCTGTACAGAATTTCCTTAAGAAGACACAACCTACACAGCAGTTTCTTTAAACACATTTATCAGATTTCAGTAGTTAAGCATTAATTGCATGACTTCATTAACAACATTTAAATATATGATTCCAGCATTCAATAATTGCATGTGGTATACTCACGACACTTTATTATTTGTTACAGCCTTCACTACTAAGTCTGGAGCCTACACTAAAGTTCTGTGTGTTTAGATATGGTACTAGGCCAACAGCAGCGCATCAAGGAAAACATTTACAATTTGGCTCACTGGAGTGTTTCATTGGGATGATCTTTATGCATCATTCTTTATCATTATCTCCCACATGTCATTGAACTTTGAACTTCCATAGGCAATATTGATAAGGAGTGTGTGTTTTTTATATGTTTTTATGATTGGCTGTTAGTCATTTCAAGTAAAGCCAGTTTGACTTCAAATTTGGACATTCATGACTCACAAATCAAACAAAAGCACACAAAAATGTGTCAGTATAAACTGGAGCTGGGCAATATAAAGATGAAAATCAAACTAGAAAAATCTGTTGCCAAATCATGATTCAAACACAGACATTTCTCTTACTCACTCCAGCCTCTGTCATGCTCTGAGGTGGATTTAAACAGTGATAACAAAGTCCAAGCTTTTAGAAGAAGTAGGCGACTTTGGTTACTTCTTATTTATTTACTAACCCTAAGTGTACATAAAACGTCAACAAATTCTGATATAGGTCTGTCTGATAATTATTGTTTTGAGTTATCCTTCAATACTTGTTAGATTGAACAAATTTTGGGGGTCAATATTTATCATGGGAACTTTTCAGTATTATCATTTATTGTCTATATTTACTTCAAAATGTGTTTTCATGACAGGCCTATACTGATAGTATTTTGGGAGATTTTCTGCACTAGTTATTACTAACCCTAATGTATAAATTGATCGATAGAACTCACAGGTAAACATATTTCATCATCTGAGTTGTAGTTTCCATCTGATATGTGCTGTGCTCTCAGGGCTGCTGCAACACTTTGTCTCTTTATTTGAACATGACAACAAGATTCCAAATCCCACTTGTTTGACGACTACCGCGTTGAATAAACCATTTCATCTGAAGCCTTACATGACTGTCCTGTGTTTTGCATTTGTCTCGCGGATCGTGATCTATTTAGGAGGCAAAGGCACCAGAAGTGAGCTACTGCGCGCAGCTCTGACACCGAGGTAATCACGCCGCCCGTCCCTGGGTGCTGGGGTCAAGTCAAGGTGCGTCTAATAAACAAACCTCTTTAACGGTCGTGTTTATTGAGGTGGGGGGAGACTCGAGCTTTTCAGAATCGCCTGGACAAAAGCATTCACCGCAGAGCATATAACCCACCGTAATAAGACCACTGCGTCCCCCAGAGCTCCATCTACATTCATTAGGCAGCCATGAAAGAGTGCAGAGGGACTGGGAGGCTATGGAGGAGAGAGATAACAAGTACCTTTCGGCTAGGACAATTTGTTTGGGTCCAGTCGATAGGATTTAGACGGACAATGCCAGTGGGACAAATGGGAGCCTTATTACTCAGCTATTTAGATACTTTGATACTTAGCCTCAAATTCCTAACTCACCAGACTGCCATTAGAAGAAGTAAGCAAGGTCTGTGAAGATTGGGTCATTTTCTTGTGGAGGAGCAGGGCAGATGTGGAAAACACAGATCCCGCTGAGGATGTGAGATACAACATGACAGAAGCTCTACACGTGACAAAAAGCACTTTAGTTTGTTCATTCATAACATCAAACAATATTCGCTTTGCACTTGATCATACAGTGAGTTGTAAGTTCATGTTTTGTTTATGTAACAAGCACAAACATAGCAATCTGTCTGGTTCATACTAAATCAAATTAGATTAAACAAGTTAAGGCTTTCTCTTTTATATATTCATTGGTTAGCCTAAGAATTCTATATTGTGCTGTGGAATAAAGAAAAAGCAATCAGAGTGTCTCTATCTATGTAAACTATTGACTAAATATCCTTATTTACTTGTTTATATCTATTAACCGCAATGGAATTCTTATTCTTATTTGTACAGTATTTCAGACTATAACTTAAATAACTAAAATAGTTAAAAACATTCACATATCAGTATATTAATGGCATTTGATAGTTACAATCTTTGTCAATTCAAATAGTCTTTTTGATATTGTGATTTTAATTGCAAATGCTATTTTTTAGCCCGACCAGTAAAGAACTTGGGTACATACTGTATTTAAATATGCATCATATATATATTAAGGCACGTGGTGGTGAGATTTCTGCACAAATTGGGACAAAATGGCTTTGGAGCCGAAGTTTAAACTGGATTTAAATCAAGTTTCTCCTCTATATTCACTTGCTCACGAGGGGCCGTGCTGCCTTATTAATG